CCGCCGCTGTTAAAGTTAACCACAGAGTACTCAACCATCTCCTCTTGTTCTCCTTCTTCTTCTTCCTTCTTCTTCTTCTTGTGTGTTTGGGGTTTAACTGGTTGGATGTTGGAGTAGAGAGGATCAGCCTGGTTCCTGGAAAAGTCGACAGTGGCATATTGAAGCTCATCCTGCTCCTCTGCTGGTTGTATCTGTGAACACCGGACAACAAAGAGTATTCAATTATTTACAGACAGACTTTTGAAAGACAGGATTCAAGGCTTGAGTTATTTACAGAGACAGAAGTTGTAATTTTACTGAAAGCAAAAGAGGGAACTTGAGACTTGAATCAGAAACCAATCCTGTTTTTGGTGTTTCATTAAAAGCAGTTCATAATGTTATGGTTTGCCTTGTTGAATGCTGATGATCCTTGGGTGTCTTTATCATGGCCAGGAAAGCAACGCAACCCAAAAGGTCTCACTTTCCTTTTTTGGGGAGCTCTCAGAAAATCATCAGTTTTTTGGAAAAACCCAACATGTGAAGCACCAGGATGGAGAGAGCAAAAGCTGAAGCACTTACAGCAAACAAATAGGACAAACATTGCTGTAGGCAAACAAATCAAACACTATGTCAAGAGTTCAACCGTCCCTGATTCATAAATTCAGAGACTTCCTCACCTGTTCACTGTTCTCTGGTCTGTCTCCGGGCTCAGACGGTTGCTTGCAGGCCCTCTTCTTTCTGGTGAGGTGCATTCAAATAGAAAAGTAAACCATATTGTTGTTTGTGAGGGTACAATGCATTAATCATGAACAAGTATTTGCTGAAAAAGAACTGCTCACATGATCCATATGACGACAAAGATGAGTATGATAATGAGGAAAATAGCAGGAACTGTCACAGCAGTCGTCAGTTTCCATCCTCCTGCTGAAACAGACAGAGACAGAAAGTTAACCTTACAAGTAAAAACACGTCATGAACACATTCTTACAACTTATTGTATTTCTTTTGGTGAAATTGAAAAAGAAATAAGACCCAAACGAAGGACAAACACCCTGTTACTGTTAAAAACAGACTACGATACTCACTTTTGACATTTATCAAAAACATTATTGTGACAAAGACTTAAAAATGTAACGTTTAGTTCAGCATCTCAAAACTACTCAACCAGGCATGCAACAGGAGGGAACTTCATTTTACCTAAAGCAAGAACCAACTCAATTAAACAAACAGTAAATGTTTCGAGCAATGCAGGAATGGAACTCACTTCAAAGATACATGAACTAAGAAAACAAGAAAACTAAATTCAAATGTTTATTAAAGCAGTATCTTTTGACCGAGTAAATTCATCTATTGCATCCAACAAGCTATACATTTTATTTGATTTATGTTCCTCCTGTAACTCTTTGATTGTTCTATTTGCTTATTGTTTATGTGTGTGTATGTTTAGACAGATGCATTTTGCAGGTACATGTATATATATTCTTTAACTCATCAGTAGATTGTGTACAGAGGAACTGAACGGGTTCAAATGTCACTGCCATGGATTGAACAATCGTATGATCATAATTTCCTAGAAGCTGTCCTCACCCTGTCATTGTGTTCATGTTTTGTCTTGCTGTTAGTCCTGTAATGTTATGTGTTAGGATGAAAGCTGTGTATTGAATGTTGTTTATGTTAATGAGTGTTATGTTGGTTTTAAGTTGTAAGATGACACAGTCACACTGTAATGGGTGTTGTGGACCTCAGGAAGAAAAGCTGCAGCATTGCTGTAATCCAGGTCCGCCTTCCCTCGTGCCTCAGTGTTGCAGAGGTACTGTCAGCCTAACCTTAACCTGATATCCTAAGAAACTAAACTGAACTAAACTGAACCCTCTCGGAGTCTCTGGAAGGCGTCCTGGAAGAATTCAATCGAGGAAGTCTTTAGTTATACCAAGAGACTGACTAATGGAGAACCTTTACGGAGGTCTATTGGGTGGCCTTCCCGACTGAATCAGAGTGTTGTTATTCCTTTAGACCGCTGTTCCTGTCATAGAGTCATATGACCTGTGAAACAGTGTGGGTGAAGCTTACCTTCCAAAACAGTCAGATGTACAGTGGAGTTATGACGTCCTCTGGTATTTTGGGCGATACAAATATAATGCCCACTGTGTTCAGGACTTGTGTTGTTTATGTTAAAGATCTGTCCTGAAGCTGTTGGTGAGTCTTCATCCTCCTTGAACCAGGTGTAATTAGCTGCTGGGTTAGCATCACTGCTACAGGTCAGAGTCACTGAACTGCCCTCCACTATCTCAGCAGAGGGACTCACTGACACAGAGGGAAGCTTTGGAGCATCTGAGGACAACAATTATAGATTGAACGCCCATTAGTATTGAAATTCATGTTTTGAAAAGAACTTTGTAGCACGATAAGTAAAACTGAGTGTGACTTACACTGGACATCTAACAAATGTTGCAGAGATTGATCTGTCCATGTTTATTCTCAGCCTGGCAGTAGTAAATCCTCGGTCTCAGACCTGATGGACGGGAAATAATAACTTTGCCCTTGTCCTTTAAGCAGGTTCTCCTTGAACCAGGTGTGTATTTAGCTGCTGGGTTAGCATCACTGCTACAGGTCAGAGTCACTGAACTGCCCTCCACTATCTCAGCAGAGGGACTCACTGACACAGAGGAAGCTTTGGAGCATCTGATGATACATAAAAAAAAAAAAAAAAAGATTAATATAAAAATGAGAACAAAAATGTCAGAATTATAGTAATACTGTCGTGAGTGTAAAAACGCTCCCAGATAAATCATCTTTTTGTTGCTTTTAATAGTTGTTGATTCACTCACATTTCACAACAATAGAGATCCATTTATAGGTCAGCTTTCCCAGATCATTCTTAGCTTTACAGTAATACCTTCCAGAGTCAGAGGACTGAACTGAGCTGAAGACGAGCTCTGATTCTTTACTGAGTTTACGACGGTTCACGTTGTACCAGGTGTATTCAGGTGCTGGGTTAGCATCACAGCTACAGGTCACAGTCACTCTACTGTTCTCTCTGATTTCACCAGCAGGACTCACAGACGCTGAACAAACTGATGGAGCATCTTGAGGAGAGAAGAATAAAAATATAACTGAAGTGACCAAAGAAGAATTAAGTGGAATAAAGTGCTGAGGGTGCAGATTGAAACCAGCTGACAACCCCTCCCTCGATGCTCCCCTCTTCACCTGCAGAGTTTACAACAATCATTAAAGCTCAGCGTACTCTGTACGATTGTTTGAAATTCATGGAGGAATGTCGACTCACACTGTACGAGTGAAATCAGGACAGAGCATTCACCATCATCAATAGATCTGTCTCATATGCACGACTCAAATACACACATGCCCAAAAAACACTTTCTCTCACACACACACACACACACACACACACACACACACACACACACACACACACACACACACACACACACACACACACACACACACACACACCACACACACACACACACACACACACACACACACACACACACACACACACACACACACACACACACACACACACACACACAAGCTTACTAGCAGCTAAATAATAACAAGTATTCCCTCTCAGCTGGAGGTCTGCAGATATTTCCTGCCATCGTTTCTTTTGGATTAAATAGGCGTGTCTACTGTTGCCATGGTGATTTAGGATGTTTTCTGTCAGTTTGCGCAGACACAATCAGGGGGAAAAGTCCTGAAGTCGTGGGATCTGCGCATGGCTCTGCTATGTGAGTGTGGGCAGTCGTACAACCAAAATATCAAACGTGCCAGAAAATCATCCGACCAGTCTGAAGCAGCTGATCAGACAATGATAGGCTGTCGAGCCTCAGTGTACACTGCACAACTAACAACGGGAGATCAGGCAGAATGAAAAATCAGTCGACTCAAAGGTTTTGATGAAATCGTCCTGAAATGGCTCAGAGTCGCCCGGCTTCAGTAGACTGAAGGCCCGCTCTAAAGCAGCCGTTTGTTCTGAGTCTTCTGGTTTATTATAGAAACATGTGAAGCATTGTGAACTTTGTGAAGTGCAGACATAAACAATCATTAACATTACAAACTTTTAAAGTAATTAAACTCAAGTAAAAATATTTTAAATCGTCACATTAAAGTCCTGATTAAATCTCACACACTGGTCCTTTAACTTGAATCTGTCAAAGAGACTATAGTAGTGTGTTTATTTGTAGGTGAGAGTTTCTTCTTTACACATAATATCTTCAAGAACATTTCTGCTGTTTCACTCACATTTCACATTGATAGAGACGTATCCAGACCTCTTCCTCCCCAGCTTGTTCTCAGATTTACAGTAATACTCTCCAGAGGCCGAGGGGTGAATGTAGTTGAAGACCAGCTGTGCTCCTTCATGAAGGTATTGAGGGGTCTGATTTCTCTTGTACCATTTAAAAGTAGCTGCTGGGTTAGCATCACTGCTACAGGTCAGAGTCACTGAACTGCCCTCCACTATCTCAGCAGAGGGACTCACTGACACAGAGGGAAGCTTTGGAGCATCTGGAGGAGAAAACATCTGTTTTAAGTTCTCCTCAACATTAAAATGTTTGAATTGTCAAGATGAAAACACTGAAATAATATTAGAGACATATCACATGAACAGAAAAGGGGATAAGAATGAGCCTGTTTTAATATATAGATAATTAATGATTCCTTTAAGTGACTCTGTTCCAGCAGCTACAATCACAGTCAAGACATCTCATAAAAACACTGAGTATAAGAACATGAAGCACATTAAAACAAGTGGATCAATTCAAACAATCTATTCTCACTAAGACAAAACTACTGATGACTCTCTCTTTGTGTCTCAGTTTTAGGGATGTATCTGCTGCCCCCTTTTGGCCCAGCCCCTCTACTGACCAGCTGTCACTGGTTGTTAGTTCAGCATGGATAAATGTGTCTCTCCGGCTGCTGTCCGTGTGCTGATCAGAGGCTGGGTTTAATGACAGTTTCATGGGTTTTTCCACATGGTGACATTAATCGTCTGTGTGGAATTGTCTGGAATGGTTGTGTGTGTCCGTTCAGGTTAGTGCAAACCAGCGTGCTCATCTGTTTGGTTCAAAGCAGAGGACTCATAGACAGTAAATATTAATGTTTGAAGCCTGAGTGACGTCAGCCATCTGTTCCTGCAGGGGCTCCAGAGGCTCATCGGCAGCAGCCACCATGCTGGAAATGCTGTCTCAGTCTAACTTTCAGTCAACCTAACGACAGGCTGAGAGCTGAGGCGGGTTTTAAACCTCCTGACAAACCGTTACACCGCGCCCACCTGTCAATCATGTCAGCTACACACCTAACTATGAATAACACGTATCGTTTTCAAAATCAAAACAGAGCCGTTTGTAAAAAAAATCACCCCCCATAAAGTGTGTGCCAGTGATGACAATAACTAATCAGACCTATTTGTTTTTTAACCAGGCTGTAAACATCTTTATTTATGCTGTAAAAACAGCTTTTTTGCATGTCATGTGTATGTGACTTCCTGTGTTCCTGCCAGCCAGCCTCTAGTGGAGAGTCGATGAACTGCAGGATTTACACTTCAGCATTGCTTCATTTTCAGAACCGGAAGTTGCCGCTTGGGAGGACCCCAAAAATAAATATATCTGTACCGGGGCCCCAGGACAAGTATGTTACGCTGCTGTATTCTCCTCTCTTCCCTTCAGGACTCCTCTTGTTCTCGGTTCAGACTTTGTTCTGCATTACACATCACAGCGTGTCCTCACAGCATCAGATGTTAGATATGATGTCGCATGGCGAAGCATTGAACGCTTCTTGTCCACACTGGATCCAATAAATGTTTATTTCTCTGCTCTGTGAATTTCAGTTTCCTTTGTAAACAGTATGACATCTAGTGCTTTTATTTTGAAGGTGAACAAACAGAACAGTGTTGCTTTAATACGAGTCTTTGATGGAGGCGAGCAGAATAAAGTTTTGCCTCCATGTTATCAAAAGTCAAAGCTCAACATGTCAATCACAAAATATCAATGCATCACTATCTCCACTTTGCAAAATAAGCTAACAAGCTCTGTTGAGCGATGAGGTGTGAACAGTTCTGTTGTTTAAGAACACGTCACAAATCAGTCAAAGGTTTTTCTTTGGAACAAATTTAAGAAACTCTTCAGACGCTCACTCGGTCACGTGCTGTGAGGAGACGTTGGTACAGACAATCTCACACTGCTAACATGTATTATATAACTAACGCTCTACTCCAGCTATATTCAACATTTAAATTCAAATTAAAGATGTGTCTTTTAACCATTAGTTGTCAGTGCTCAGTGGGCTTTAGCTGCAGACTGTGAGTGTGAAGTAGAGCTAGAGGAAGCAGATATGATCAGCAAATTAAACCTTCAAATGAGAAATCAGCTCAATGTTGCTTTTCAAAGAAAATGTTTTTCACTCACATTTCACTTCAACTTTGACGTATCCAGATGTCCTCTCTCCCAGATCATTCTTAGCTTTACAGTAATACCTTCCAGAGTCAGAGGACTGAACTGAGCTGAAGACGAGCTCTGATTCTTTACTGAGTTCACGACCGTTCACCTTGTACCAGGTGTATTCAGGTGCTGGGTTAGCATCACAGCTACAGGTCACAGTCACTCTACTGTTCTCTCTGATTTCACCAGCAGGACTCACAGACGCTGAACAAACTGATGGAGCATCTTGAGGAGAGAAGAATAAAAATATAACTGAAGTGACCAAAGAAGAATTAAGTGGAATAAAGTGCTGAGGGTGCAGATTGAAACCAGCTGACAACCCCTCCCTCGATGCTCCCCTCTTCACCTGCAGAGTTTACAACAATCATTAAAGCTCAGCGTACTCTGTACGATTGTTTGAAATTCATGGAGGAATGTCGACTCACACTGTACGAGTGAAATCAGGACAGAGCATTCACCATCATCAATAGATCTGTCTCATATGCACGACTCAAATACACACACACACACACACACACACACACCACACACACACACAGCTAACTAGCAGCTAAATAATAACAAGTATTCCCTCTCAGCTGGAGGTCTGCAGATATTTCCTGCCATCGTTTCTTTTGGATTAAACAGGCGTGTCTACTGTTGCCATGGTGATTTAGGATGTTTTCTGTCAGTTTGCGACACAATCAGGGGGAAAAGTCCTGAAGTCGTGGGATCTGCGCATGGCTCTGCTATGTGAGTGTGGGCAGTCGTACAACCAAAATATCAAACGTGCCAGAAAATCATCCGACCAGTCTGAAGCAGCTGATCAGACAATGATAGGCTGTCGAGCCTCAGTGTACACTGCACAACTAACAACGGGAGATCAGGCAGAATGAAAAATCAGTCGACTCAAAGATTTTGATGAAATCGTCCTGAAATGGCTCAGAGTCGCCCGGCTTCAGTAGACTGAAGGCCCGCTCTAAAGCAGCCGTTTGTTCTGAGTCTTCTGGTTTATTATAGAAACATGTGAAGCATTGTGAACTTTGTGAAGTGCAGACATAAACAATCATTAACATTACAAACTTTTAAAGTAATTAAACTCAAGTAAAAATATTTTAAATCGTCACATTAAAGTCCTGATTAAATCTCACACACTGGTCCTTTAACTTGAATCTGTCAAAGAGACTATAGTAGTGTGTTTATTTGTAGGTGAGAGTTTCTTCTTTACACATAATATCTTCAAGAACATTTCTGCTGTTTCACTCACATTTCACATTGATAGAGACGTATCCAGACCTCTTCCTCCCCAGCTTGTTCTCAGATCCACAGTAATACTCTCCAGAGGCCGAGGGTTGAATGTAGTTGAAGACCAGCTGTGCTCCTTCATGAAGGTATTGAGGGGTCTGATTTCTCTTGTACCATTTAAAAGTAGCTGCTGGGTTAGCATCACTGCTACAGGTCAGAGTCACTGAACTGCCCTCCACTATCTCAGCAGAGGGACTCACTGACACAGAGGGAAGCTTTGGAGCATCTGGAGGAGAAAACACTTTTCATTTACTTTGAAAATCAATGTCAGGTCAAACTTTTTAAACGTTAAAATGAGGAAGAGTTAACAGGTTATAAAACGTAAAGTCAAACACTGTGGAGTAAACTTACAGACTTCAGGAGAGCGGTAATCCTCTCGTCCTTTAACAGAGCAGGAATACTTGTTATTCTCATGAACAGAGACTCTAATAGAAGACGTCTCTGCAATCATTTTTTTTCCATTTCTGTACCAGACATATGAAGGATTATCAGCCACATTACAGCTGCTGTAACACTTCAGCTCTGCATGATTCCTTTTTCTTTCCACCTGCACCTGAAGGTCTGAACATGTGAAGAAAGTTAGAACATTAAAATAAACAAAAACAAAAAGATTCACAGTAGTATTAACTCTGAAAATGAAGAAAATACTTAAAATGAGAATGTTACCTGTGATGGACAAAGTGACTCCTTCATCACCAGTTAAACTTCCTCCTGGTTGGTTTGTTGTGAACATGAACTTGTAAACAGCTGAGTCTCTCTCTCTCAGGTTTTTGATTCTCAGAGTGCAGACGTTCTCATGAAAAAGATACTCAACACGACCTGAGTAGTCTGGGTCTGTTCTCACATCTACAGGTTCATACCTGTCTTTAGTAAACCAGAATCTGCTCTGAACTACAGTAGTTTGTTGTCTTATTGTTGATGGGTATGTGTAGGTGCAGGGTATCTCCACTGTTGATCCTTTGACGGCACAGATCTGAGCAGAAGAGTGAGTCACTCTCCAGGTATCCTCTCCCTTCACCACTGAAACACAGAGCACATCAGGAAACACAATCAGGTCAAACATGGACCACAGAACTGATCGTTTTTACAAACAAAAACACAACAGAGACTCTTTCTGCTGAGTCAATTTAGGAACTCTGAAGTCAGCCAGTGCACCTTAAACAGAGTTTAACAATCACTGATTGAAAGTGTACTCTTATTTATCATTGTTTCATGATTTATATGATTTATACATCTTAATGTCAAAAGAGAGACAACAAAGTTCAATCACCACGACAAAGCAGTCCAACGTTTGAGTGTCTACATTTTAGAGGACAGCAGCCATTCTTTAAATCACTTCTTTCAGCTGCTGCCTTCAGGACAAACACAACACCCGTGCTAAAAAGAACATTTATAGAAAGTAATTTGTCCCTGTTGCTGTAAAATATCTCAATCAGTAATGAAAGCTGTTTTTTTAATTGAGACTGCTACCTCAGCACACAGCACTTGTGTTTATTTTGTATTCAGTCTGGCTGACCTGTAATCAGTCTGTCTAATATTAGTGTCTCCTGTAGGTCCTATCCATGTTTTAACTCCTTGTGTAATCTGTTGTTTGTATGTCAACTTGTTTTTGTTTGTGTTTTCTTCTCACGTCCACACCAATGAGAAGGTGTGTCCGGCTCTGTTGCTACCCGTCGGCCCCGTCTGCCTTTTTTTGTTGATTCGGCGTTGGCGGTCGGTGGAAGGAATCTCTCTGATTGGCTGTTCAGAGGTTTCATATATCTCCAGCTTTCGACTCAGGTTCAGGAAAGCACCTTGAGCATGCCGCTGTAGTATCCATGCTTTCACCCATTAGTGCGGTTTCTTCTTATTCATCTACTCCGCCTCTTCTTTTCTTTTTCCACTAAAAGACCAAGAGCTGACAACGCCAGTGCCAAATTTAAACTTTTTATCAGACATTATTCTCCATTAGTAGACGATCTATAATACGACCGACAGCAGTGTGAAAATGGTCTTCTAGTATCATAACAACGAGCTACCGCCCCTCACGCATGTGCAGAACGTACGGGGTGGTTGGCCGATGGCTGAAGTCTTTGCAGTGTGTTCTAGAGTAACTTTTTGCAGATGATGTCACTTGGAAAGGTTTTTTAAATGACAATGAGACCAATTACAGAGCTGAGGGAGATCACTTTTACAACTGCTGTTCTGATAACTCGTTGATTTTAAACACACGAGAAACTAAAAAAATGATTTCTGATTTTAGAAGAAATGTAACTCTGTGCATCTTACAAGATAACTTAAATACATTTAACAAACTTGGTTGTTGTAAAAATGTTCTTTTCAAAGACAAACTGTTTGCTTACAGACGAGGAAATCGTTGGACCTGAATGTAAATGCAGTTTAGTGGCTGTGTCTGAAGTGTTCTTGTCTTTGTTTCCTCTCTGTTCAATCTGTGGTCAGGTTAGTGGTTAGTGTGAAAAGAAGAAAACTGAAGATCACGTGTGAGTCTGTTTCATCAGGACACTTAACTGTTAAGCAGAAAGAGAATGGAAACATCACATACATCATACAAAACTTAATGCATCTGCATTTCTGGTTCGCTTTTTCTGGAGGTGTTATCTGTTCTCTCATGAAAAATAAAGACTCTTACAGCTGGAAGTTACTGAATTCTGCAGCTTTAGTTATTCAGAACTTCTCTTACTGTAAAATACTCCAAAAATCTTCACTGTTTGTGAAAAATGATGCAGACGGATGTTGAATGTATAAAACGTTAAAAACACATCGTAAGACTTAGAAACTAGTGAGACAAAACAATCTAATTATAGAAAGAAACAGAAGCAAACATGTCTTTAACAGTTTGCATTCATATCTAACACTCAATCTAAAAAACCTGAACATTAAAGAGTCTACTCTTTTATCATTTTAAAAACAATTAAGCCTTATCCAAATACGTTCAGTGATGAAAGTTTAGTGAGATATACAGTACCTGACACAGAGAGAAGGAAGAAACCAATCACTCACTGCTGCTTTCAAACCATAGCTGCTCCTCTCATCCCTGTGGACTTCAGAGTAAATAAAACACATTAACAGAAGTCTGCTACATGTTTCAATAAATGGCATATCATTGAATATTCTACTTACAACAGGGAGGAGATGTCGTCTCTACAGCAAATGTTCCTCTGTGGTCAATCAGCGCAGAAGTCAAGCTTAAAGTTTGTCTTCCTTCCTCTTCACATTATGAATATGCATGAAGTTACAGACTGGCTCCATACTGATGTTATTTTAAAAAGAATCTAAGGCACTAACGAGGTTGCTTTCTAAGGATAAGAATATCAAGAATCTTTAATGTAACTCCATGTAAAACACCATCAGACAGCAGTTCAGAATAAAATGGTGAAATGCAGCCAATGAAACGTGTTCAATCAGCAGCTGCAGCAGATGATAAGCTTACTTGGTTTAACTATGGGTGCAAACAGCGATTTGAGAGAAAACCACACTCTGACCTAAAACAAAAAGATGAATTTTGAACGTGCAAGTACACTGGCAGATGTCAGAATAAGCAGTGGTTGAGTTGCCCAATCTAGTCTAGCAGAAATTTTAAATGTTCCTTTATGACTTTAGAGTCTGTAACCTGATGCACACTGCCTCAAAAAGATTGTTTTTCAAATACTTGATAAGAGTTACCTGTGAAGCAGTTGATTTTTAACAAACCTCATGACTTATTAAAAGGAGAAACACCTTGTCTGCAAGCAACTCTTTTGATGTTTCAGCTCAGCATATGAGAAAGCAGATTGTATGAATGGAAACTTACAGCCCTAAAGTCCAGTTCGTTTGACCAGTGAGAATGCTCCGATCCTTCCTTGGCCATGGCATGATTCAAAGAGGTGTGCTTCAGCACGGTACAGTTCATGCACGAGCACAAGTACACAGGTACACAACGTGGACAGCCTTCATTATGGAGACATCCCGGAGTGTGACTCAATGACTCAAAATAACCACAAAGTCAGTAAAGTAGCTGACATGTTCTCTGTGTTGTTCTCTGAGGTAAGGAAGAACACCGACAGCGCGTCTCTTTCTTTTTTTTATCAAGTAACCTGTCTTGTAAACTAAGCACGCTCATAAACATAAAGCCATGCCCTGCTGCTCTGATGTTCAACAATATTATCCTTGTCTTTGCATTAATTTAGGACACCCTGTTCTATGAAATTACAATAAATTAACTGAAATATAAATGACAATAAACAATGTAGCTCAATCTAATAGTTTTAATAATAATAATAATAATAATACATTTTGTTTATAAGCGCCTTTCAAGACAAACAAGGACACTGTACAACAATCAACATTTAAAAAACAACGATGGATAAAATCAGCAAACAATAAAAAGAAATGAAATGTAGGACAGACAGGATCCGTAAAGTTACCTCGTGTCATGTTTTTTTTTACTCATTTATTTATATTTTTGTCTTCCTTTTATTTTACTTCCCCTTGTCTCTGTCTTTCAGATCCTCTCCTCATGTGTTCCTGCCCTGATTGTGTTCACCTGTGTCTAGTTCTCACCTGATTGTCTGTGTATATATCTCGTGTTTCCTCCCTCATGTTACCATCATAGTGTTCCTGTTGTCATCTTGTTCCAGCATTGTTTCCTAGTAGATATATAGTATTTGACCGTGCCTGCCTTACTGTTTTGCCTTCTGCCTGCTCCCTTTGTTTGCCTTGAAGAATTGACTGCCCGTGTACCACCTGACTGTTATAAACTCTACCTTTTCCTGAACTCAGCCACGTGTGAGTCTGCTTTTGAGTCC